AATACTTATGACCATGTGATATTTCAGTTTTTCTTTTTTAATAAATTTGCAAAAAAAAAAATTTCTGTCAAGATGGGGTGCTGAGTGTACATTAATGAGAAATAAAATGAACTTTTTTGATTTTAGCAAATGGCTGCAATGAAACAAAGAGTGAAAAATGTAAAGGGGTCTGAATACTTTCTGTACCCACTGTATATGATACTGTGAGGCAGCATCTAATAAGAAGATGTCAACAACTTTAAAGGTACTTTAAATTAAACACGAAGGGAAGAGTTCCAGGTTATACTGACACAAAGAGAACGCAACATTTGTGTAACCGCAGAGTCTTAGCATTGGGTTAGATTACAGTTAACTACTACACATAGAGGAAGTCTGGCTTAACTGCCACCAGCCTTCATGCATCCTGGGAGGGAGGGGGGGGCTTTTCTGGTGTTTTAGAGTTGTCGTGACACCGAGTATCACAAGCATGTCGAGTCCCACGTCGTCTCTCAGGATCGCTGCATAAATTCAACCGCCTATCTTCGTCTGTGCGTGCGCGTGAGTGATTATACGTGCACCTGTCTGCCTGTGCGGAGAGGTGTCGGGGGGGGGGGGCGCACACGCGCGGAGTAGATGCACTGGCACCCAGTCGCCACCTCAGGGGTGCGAGAGGAGGAGGAGGAGGAGGAGGAGGAGGAGGAGGGTGGCGGCGGCATGCGTGTGATAGCAAAGGGTGTAAATTGAGCCGTGATGGTCCAAGGAGGAGGATATGATTGGATGAGACCTTGTGAGCGGCAAGAGGCACTTAGACACACTCTGCCCTAAACTGCAGCGCGCTGAATTCCTGTTCCTCCTGCCCATTCTTTATCACTCTTCCATCACTCTCTTTGTGTTTGTAGATCTCTTAGCTTTCATCTCATACTGAGCCTTTGAAATATAATGCTCCTCTCTTTCTATCGGCCAAACACACACACACACAGACACATACTTCCTCTTTTGTGCTTATATCCTGAGCTTATCCTAATAACTCATTCCCACTGACGGATATGATCCGGTGTGTCTCTGTAGTCAGTGTTTTCCCAATGTTCCTCAAAATGCAGAGGGCTATGAAATAAGTGTTGTAGGAGGTCTGTTTTTCTCTGCGTCTCTATCTTTATTTCTCTCCCCTTTGTATCATGTCTTAAGCAGCTTCACTCATCTGTTTCTCCTTTTTTGTTCTATTCTCCATTTTCAGAAACACAAGGAGCGGGAAAGGCACAAACCCAAACACAAGAAGATCTCCATGGATATGTCGCCCTCCCTCGTCCTTCCTAATATCTTGGTCCCGGACAAGGTGAGGGCGCTCCTCTCTCCTTTTGTTTTGGTGAATTTTGACAGAGCTAGTTAAATATTACAGCAGGGATGGGTGGCTTTTTTCCCCTCCACCTTGATTTACCTTTGTTGCTCTTCTTCTGTATCGCTTACATATCCTGTCCTCCCGCTGACCTTTCTCCCATTTTTGGTCCTCCCTCTCCAAACCGGCATTGTTTTGATAACTTTCTCTTTCCTTGTTTCCGCTGCTTCTCATGGTTCCTGTCCTCCCTTGCCTTTCAACCATCATTTTTTCTTTATTTCTCCCTCCCTTTTTTCCCCATCTTCCTCCTCCAGACCTACATCAGCGGCAGCTCAGGGGTAGGAGCCGCCTCTCTGCCAGCGTCCTCGCAGAAGCGTCTGGACGACAGCGCGGCCCGCTTCACTACCGCGAACTTTCAAGAAGTGTCGTCCACTCTCTCCGGGGGCGGCTCCAAAGATGGCTTGGCCGCGGACGCCGGGAAGGCGGCATCTGAGGCGAAGAACAAGAAGAACAGCGGCGCGAGTCATGCGGTGGGACAGAGGGGGGGCCGCAAGTCTCTCACCTCCTCGGGGAAACCCCTCCCTTCTGCCGTGGTCACCATGGCAACCTCCTCCACATCTGCCTCCGCCTCCACTGGGCCTTTCCACCAAGGTGAATTAATGGCTGCAAACGGTCCTGTATGTTAATTTCCCCCACAACTGGGAATTAAGCGTTCATTTATAAAAATGGAAACGCGATGACAAATCATCTGGTGTTGCTGCCCTGCCCACCCACCAAAGAACTGAAAGTGCAGCACAGTTGTAATCACTGCAATGCTATTAAAATAAGAGTGTGATTCATGTGTTTGTGTTTGTGTGTGTGTGTGTGTGTGTGTGTGTGTGTGTGTGTGTGTGTGTGTGAGTGTCATTGGCTGGATTTTGGCCAGACACCAGACCTTTTTGTGTGGCCGTGATAACAGCGTTTCGTCTCGACTGGCCTCTGGCTCCTGTAATCGGGGGCCCTGTCTGGGAAAATGCACAGAAACGCACCGAGAGAAGGAACATGTGGGGAGGTCAGGACCTGAAAGGAGTCAGAGCTCACACTGAGCTCCTGTGTTTTTGTACTATCGGAACCTTGAAGGCTTTGTCAGGCGTGTGTATTTGTTTGTGTGTGTCTTGTAGAGAAACGGTGTGTGTGTGTTTTGAGTATCCATTCATTTGTGTGCTCTCAAGGCACTTCCTCTGGTACAAGGGAGGACGACATGACGAGGGAGGGCTGACTGCAGAGCAGATAGAGAGCACGAGAGCCGATAAAATGCTTATTTTGGTTTGTGTTGTTTCTGCTCCTCCCATGATGATGGAAAGGAGTCGTATGAAAACTTTTCCAGCTGTAATGTCTCCTCGTTTCTCTCCTGTTACTTGTCATTTCCTTTCCATCTCCACTTCTGTCCGTCTCCCCTTCGTTGTTTTTCTTTTCTTCCAGGCCTCCTGTTGACCAGTGCCAGCAAGACGCCCTCTGTCCCTTCCTCCTCAGACTTCCTAAGTTTCTCCGATCCATCGTTGCGTCCGGGGGGTGGGACTACCTTCTCCTCCCCGCCGTCTTTCAGCAGCTGCCTCGTGAAGCCGAGCTCGGAGGGCGGCGCCTCAGAGGGAACGACGACACTCTTCGGCTCTCTGATGTCCGCCACTACGGCTTCTGCAGGTACCAAACGTTTATTTACGTCAATGGTCACACAGGTTTAGTTCAAATGTATTCATGTTATTAGGTCACGTGCTCCATTAGTTGTCGGTGTAGTAATCGATGGTTGCAGCCATAATAATAAACTGATGACACAGGTTTTCCTTCCCTCTTGAAGTAGATTCTTTGCTGACCAACAATCCACAACGGAACACAAAGAGGCCGCAGGCTTTATACTTTTGCATATTCAGTTCTGCTTTCCTGTCATTTCAGTGGGCGGGAAGCTGTATGAGAATTCCCACAGTCACACGGCCAGCGAGACGACAAGCCTCGGTGGGTCCGCCGGCTACAAGCGGCCCCAACCCGCCAGCTCAGTGCCGGGGATCGGAGGAGCGGCGGCAGGAGGAGGGGACGACGCTGTGAAGAAGAAAAAGAAGGGCAACTGGCGAAACAGATTTGGACCTTGCTTCACCACAGATGTGAAACCTTCTGAGCCAGCCCCCTCCCTGACGCTCCCCACCTCCTCCACGGCCAACACCTCCTCCTCCTCCTCATCATCATCCACCACCGCCCCCCCATCCTCCTCTTCATCGTCAACGCTCACAGGCCGGCCGGGCTTGGTGTCCAGCAGTGGGTTAGGAGTGGGGGTAGTAGGAGGAGGAGGAGGAGAGAGGGGGCTGGGGGTCATGGGTGTCAGCGGTGGGATACAGAACCTAAGGAATGGGAGTCTGCAGAGCAGCAGCAGCAGCTCCACAACCGCTGGGCCAGGTGAGGAAACAGTTAACACACAAAACACTACGTTTAACAACAATAATGAGAGTTTTTGAAAGCTCACAGATCTCTAGATGAGAAATACTCTCTCAGATCCATCTGTCAGTGGCAGCTGCATGTAGGGAATCATCTTCACGGTTTTGCTTTAGCTAAACAAATGGCCAGAAATCATGAAATTGTTTTTGGCAGCTTAAATAAGGAAACGGGGTTTAATTCAAGTTCCGCGAGCCAATTACGTCCTGTTAAGGGAAAAAGAAGAAGTTGTGGCCCATTGAGTTCTCCATAGCATCATCACAATGAATACAGGGGATGTGGCTAGTGTGTGGCATTGCTGTAGCAGTTGTTGTTCTCCAGCTCCTGACTTGCGGATCTTTCTCCTCACTCACCACTAAATGCTGACATGTTGACCAGAAGATGTTTGTGCATCGCGTCAGTATTAACATTTCCTGCCTCAAACGGGAAGGATTTGACACACCTTTGTTATTGGTTCCGTGTGTGTGTGTGTGTGTGTGTGTGTGTGTGTGTGTGGAAGTCAGAGTGCGGGTCTCTGTGCTGTTTGCTCACACACGTGGAAGTGGTCTGTATGTTTCTTTCATCGTGTTCTGTTGCTTGGCAACTGTCTTTATGCTTTGGAGTTCCCCTCTGCTGATGGAAATGGCTCAGCACAGCTCAGCCCACATCTCCCCTTTCTTCCAGAATTGCCACTCTTTTGTTTCTCTCTCTGCTGCCTCTCAGCTGCTGTCTATTACCTGCTCATTCCTCAAATCCTCGTCTCACCTGTTGATGCTTTGCGCGGTGGAAGGTGTTTGTGCGTTTGCATAGTGCCCAAGTCGACTTATATATATTGTGTATACACGCATGTGTACATGCTTAATAGATGCTCTAATCAGGCCAATAGCCATCATTGATCAACTGATCTAATACTAATCACCAATGTGTTCCTGTTCTTTAACATATTTACCAAAGAGACCTGTTTCTTTGTCTGTTACTGAGCCTGTTTTTATTTTAGCTGATTCCTTAGACACTGTATTTTTCAGTGGTGCTACTATCTTTAAAGGGATTTATTTCATGTTGGTAAATTGTTTGTCCTCAACCTTTAAAACCTATAATAAATATAAACGCACCCATGGAATACATTAATCAGTAGTAATTGTGTTGTTTTTCCTCATAGCAGTGTAGTACCTGAAGTATGAACTGATTGTACACTGATTGTGACCTAAACATTTGTTGCTTGGTATATTAAACCAAAGCAATACAAAAGTAATGTTATAGTCTTTGTCTGCTTGGAAGAGATTAAGTTATTGTTTAGTGCCATCAGACCTTTACGCCAGCCATTTTATAAATTCATCAATATCCCCAATTCAATGTGGTTAATTGTGAATTGACATCAAATGTATTAAAGGGCTATATATATATGTGTGTCAGGCATTTACTATTACTGTGAGGAAACATGTTATTAAACACGTAAATGTAGCAATTTGACATGAGGCCGTCTCACACGTTGAAATTATTGTATTATTGCAAAACCTCAAATTAATTGTTCCTAATAGCATAAGTGAAAGTCATGTCGATCCATAAATATTGATATTCGGAGGTGTGTTTAGTGGATGTTTTATATGCATAGCTTTGAGCACGAGTTGCTGAGTCAAACGTGAGGACCAATGCCATTTGCGTTAATATACTTATTGGCAGCGTTGGTGGTTAAGGATCATTTAGTTTGGGATTCCGCCTTCAGCTCTGTTTTTGGTGCTTGTGCTTTTCCCCTACAGCAGTGGCGGCATTTCTGACCACATCTGGTGGTCATGTATGGCTGTGCATCGTGTGTGTGTGTGTGTGTGTGTGTGTGTGTGTGTGTGTGTGTGTGTGTGTGTGTGTGTGTGTGTGTGTGTGAACCATGTTTTCTTTTTCCTACTGTAAATATTTAGCTGAGGGTTAATGCAGGGCAGTAATGGGGAGGTTCTTAGCATTTATTCCCCCCTCCCCTCCATCCTGTCTGCTAACTCCACCGTGCTGATGGATAGATAGTTAGCCTGATAGATATGTGTTGAGGGTGGGAGAGGCTGGGGGTTAGATTTTGGTTAGGTTAATGTTTGACGGCAGGGGGGGTCACTGATGGGACGGACGAGCTGGTGGAGCGCGGTGGGTTTGCTGTGTGGGGGAGGAAAGATGTTGGGTGTGTGTGTGTGTGTGTGTGTGTGTGGCAAAGAATAATAAGAGAGACGAGAGAGCATAATATGCTTATTGCTGTTTATTTTTGTATTTATTTGCTCATTTTACTATGTTTTTAATGTTTGTTTTTTTTGTCAAAGATGTCTTCGGCTTTATGTTTTTTTCCCTCATCCATCCCAGTGAAATCATAATTATCAGCAGCTTGGTCTCGCTGCAACACATGTGAGGGGAGGTTGTGAAAACCAGCAGAATATTTAGTGAACAGGATTTTTTTTGAATGCCAAATTAAAATATCAAACCCGTAAATTTCTTTATGAGAAGGAATTATTTGGAGATTGGATAAATGACATTTTCAAAATGTTCTGCTTTTGTTTTTGTGCAATTTTTTGTTTTCACATTTTTTTGTGGCAAAATAGTTTTGATAAGTATATTTAACACAGTTACCACCACAGTGCTCACACTGTGGTGGATTGACCTTAAAAATATGTGTTTTCACCCAAAAAAAGGCTGTTAAACACTCGACACTTAAGAAAAACAAGACACACACACACACACACTGTGCAGAAACCCTCAAAAACACATCTGATGAATTTTAGAAAAACAATGCAGCTCTTTCATGTACATAAGAATATGCGTGTTCCTCCTTACTAAACTACACCGAGTTAGTATATGGTAAAAATATTTCCTGTTGAGGTCACAGTAGTTCAGTTTGAATCCTTACTGCTCATAATGGGAGAAACTATTAAATGTGGTTGTTTGCACAAAATGTATGTGGATTTGCCACCAACTGATAAAACCTTATCATTTGGTGGCAAATCCACATACATTTTGTGATGCATGCATATAGACAAGCACATACACACACACACACGCACGTGCATTGACTGCAATGTGGCTCTGCTCCCTCTACACATTGCTGTAATGTTTGAATACATTTCTGGTTATCTTTGGTGGTAGAAAATTCTCAGAATAATAAATCTTTCTGTTGCCATGAAGGTATTCAGTGTTTGTCTCCACGTTCCATTTTTAAACATGATTAAATGGCTGTCTGCCGGTTTAAAAAAAACACGGCCCAACTTTAGCATCGCACTGCTACAAAGATGGACATGTTGCTCTAAAACAGAGTTCTGAGCGACTTGTAAATCCCAACACTCATTTCAGCTGTGACGTCATCCTCTTGGCTTTTAGATCGGTGTTAACCCTGCCTAAATACTCGACATCGTAATAATTATAGACATAGATTTCCTGTGGAGATTATACCAGCTTGAACTAATCAAGGTGGATATTTTTGAAGGTGACAAATGTACTGAGCAGGAAGGGAAAAGGAAGGAGGAAGTTGTGCTTCGGGGGTCTTCATTTTATCGGTCACACAGACAGGGTATATGTTTTTCAAGCTCAGACTCGTGTGTTAAGAGGTGTTTTGTTATCTCGGGGGAAGTTTTAATTCCCATCAAAAGCAGTAATCAAATGATAATCAATTTAAATAACAATCTCTGTAATATTTGAAAATGTTCTCACCAGTGTAAAAAGCAATTAATGACAATATACACTTCCGCAATAGAAGTTTCTCAGCGACGTATAATATATATTTTCAGTTTATTTAATTTGTTTTGTTTTATTTCCAAGGGTTGTAGATATTTATTTTGGTGGAGCCTGTCATTCTGCTTTTCAGCTACAACCTCAGACTCAGTTGGAGCAAAATGATTTTCACATGAAAGTGACAAAATTAAAAAGAAATGAGTGATTCATGAAGTATAACCAATTTGCATAATTGTTTAGAAATGGCATTAACGTTTTAACTTCAACTGTCATTTCCCGGGTGCTTGAAAAAAACAGATAAAATAACTTTCTGTTTAGTTCAAGTCAATTCATTTTAATTCAAACAGTCCTTGCGGCGCATACAGCGTGCATGATTTACAAATGGCGTTCAATTGTTGCGACATATTGAATAACTTCTATATTCGCACATCATCAAATCAATATGAATTAATATTAACCTTTATTTTTTTTTACTGGCGCTGTTTTTGCACCATCTCTTTGTGTGCAGCTCAGTTCATCAATGGCACGAGCTAAACTCTGACAAACTGTTGGTTTGGCCTCTAATCCAGCTGCTAGGAATCCTGCAGGAGCTCGTGCCCCCTGAGTCACGGCTGCCCTGCTTCGGGTATCAATTTTTCTGGTGCATATTACAAAGCGTTATAAATAGTATGTAGGCCCATCCAGTGTTTCTATATCTCTCTCGCTCTCTCTCTCGCTCTCCCTCCACCCCTCCCCTCCTGGCACAAAGATCTCTTGTTCCCAAAGTGAATGTGTGCTGCCCTGAGCCATTCAGGCTTTTGTGGGGCTGAGGGGCCCTGCCCCCCCCCCCCCCCCTTCCCTCCCTTCTCTCCCTTCTCTCCTCTGCTGGGGTCAAAGGGGGCAGGGGCCGGGCTTATCCCTGGTTAGTGGGCGAGCACAGGGGTGTGTGAGGGGGAGGGAGAGCAAAGAGATAAGAGAATGTGTATGGGTGTGTGAAAATGGAGCAAAATGTTTCGAATATAATATTCAGGATTTTTAATAAAATGTGTTTTATCTGAATTAGTACAAATAATACATATGGAGAGAAGGTGATTAATGTTCCTCCTGTCTTTATTTGTAAAAGCTTAACGTGACTGATTTGAGTGGTGTATATTTATGTACGCTTGAACCTGAGTTTATCATAATTGATGGCGTTTTTACAGTCATAAACCAAATTATCTGACCCCATACTCGGGAAAGCCCACATACTTGATTATGCATTGGTTAAAGTCAGCAGATCTGTACTTTAAAACAAATATGATTTAAGATGTTTCCTTATCTCAGTAAATGATTCATCCTCTAACACAGTCATTTATCTCTTTCTAGCCAGCAGGCACAACACCAGCACCCTAAAACTGAAAAAGCTAAATTGAAATCCGCCATCATTGTTTTTATTGTTTACACCAGTGCTTTTCATACTGTAATACATAGTTTCCAAATCATTTATGGTATTATTTCTATATAGCATTCGATGACGATAACACTGTTGATGTCTGTTGTCTCCGATTCCTCCACAGGTGTTTTCTCCGGGGCCGATGGGTCATCGACGGGGACGGGAGTCGTCGCCGTTGGCGGAGCCGGCTCTGAGTTGTCACAGCAACAGCAGCCCACACCTTCACTAGCCCCTCCCTCTCCGTTCACTGCCACCGCACCCCTAACCAGCACTGCCTCGACACACGTGAGTCCAAACACTTAAACTGTGCTAAACAACTCTCAATGCCCTCCGCACACTCGCATACATGAAAATACATGCTCATTAAACACACCACTCTTTCTGTCTTTCTTTCTTTCACACACACACACGCACACATAAACAAACAAAAAAACCAAAGCACACTAATTAAATGTCTTTCGCACCAAATCTCTCAGCGCTATTATTAATCCGCTGCATGTTAATTGTGTGTGAATTGTCTTGGCCTTGTATGGAGTGTTTTATTCTCAGCGAGTTATTTAGCAGCTGATTTTATACGGTGGACCTGTAGAAGGTCTTACAACTTTATTCAAAGCACACAAAAAATATATCTTTTTATCTTTTGTCTCTAAACATTTTATTGAAACGTCTGTGATTCTCCTGCCTGATTCCATTAAAAACATTAATTAAATTAATATTAAACATTCCCCTGCTTAACTGTTACTTCAACCTTGGATGTTGAAGTAACACTTAAGCAGGTTTATCCTGATCAAAATAAATTATGCTGATTTTCAGAACGAAGGATGCAACTGTTTTGCTTTTCCTCAAAGTGTTGTTTTTTTGTGCATGTGTCCCATTGGCTTAAATACGCTGATATGCGAAAGTGAGGGCATAGACTCTAATTCAATCAGCTCAACCCCCTCCAGTAATCGCTGTCCCATCTCCCAAAAAGAAAAAGGAAACTCATCTTCAATCACTGACCCCAGTGTCCATCCTTTCAAAACCTCCCCAAAGACCATGCTCTGTCTCTGTCCACCCAACTCCATTTTTCTTCTGTGTCCACTTACCACCTCTCTTTCTTCCTTCCTTCTTTTCTCTCTCTCTCTCTCTTTCACACACACACACTCTCACCCGCGACCTTCCTCCTCTCTGTCCCCATCCATTTCTCTTTTTCTCCCTCCGTTGTCCTGTGATGTAATGACATCTGACAAGCACCACAGTAGGGATGGAGGGATAGATGGAGGGAGGGATCGGGGCAAGTGTGTGTGTGTGGGTGTGGTGGTGGTGGGGGGTGTTGCACTCATGCCTTGAATTGGCTGGCCTGGCCTTCATCTTGCCCCGCTCCTCTCTGTGCGGCACATATTATAGAGGACGAGAGGCCCAGGGAAGCACAGGATATCACGCCTGTTTGCAGCATGTATAGTTGTTTGGACTGTAGCTGTGTTTGTTTGTGTGTATGTGAGTGTGAGAGAGAAATAGACAGAAAGAGAGCAGCCAGAGGGAGGAAGACTTTAACAGAGAGAGAAATATTTGTTTTTCTTCCTGTCGCTGCTTTAATTGTGATGCACATATCTGAGACGCACACACCTTCCGAATCAAGTCTTCAGAATTTACGCAACTAGAAGGACGCAAACAGGCCTCCTTCAGTGTGTGTGTGTGTGTGTGTGTGTGTGTGTGTGTGTGTGTGTGTGTGAGAGAGTGTGAGAGAGAGAGAGTGTGTGACAGAGACCATTTGCTATTTTCAGTCGGCTAGCAGACTCTCGGCCTACTGTTATTGGCTATCAGCCCAGGACAGAGAAAAGGGAGTGCGAGAGAGACATTGAATGAAAAATGAATGAAAATAAAAAATGAATGTTGATGGGAAAAGGGGGCCGGATTATGGCAGCGAAGGGAGGGGGAGGAGGGGAGTGGAAGAAAGGACGGAGGGTACAGGTTCTTTCTTTGATTTTAACATTTAACAGCGATGGGAATTTCCAGGATGTTTTCCAAATTTGTATTATTTTAGACATACCACTTCCATGAATTTGTAATAGGAGATGATGGCATTCAGCAAATGGATCAGAATTACTTTACATTCAATAGATACGACGCAAAGGCAGGCAAAGCTTCACAAATGCAGGATTTGGGTGTGCACACTGAAGCTTTGTTTTTTATACATTTTGATGTTTAGGTTAGTGATTTTTCTATTTTCTGCTCATTTGCAAAAACTCTTTTTCTTGGTTTTTGGTGCTAATCAGAACTCTATTTGCTCAAACCACAGAACGTGTAGGAAACCAGACTATTTAAGCTCTTAAACTATGTCCCATCAATTCATTATAAATTGTGTTTCAACACAAAATAATAACTTTTTCTTCAGTCACAAAAAAATAATTTCATTCTCCTTTTTTGCTTGACATAAAAATGACTGAGCTCCTGGAACTTCCAAACAAATTCTGGAGAGTAACTAACCAGTGACTGAAAAAGTTTTTTAGTTTTGTCCTTTACTTTGGTTGTAGCTTTTTAACAGTCAGCCATTTTGTTCTTTTAGATAACCTGATTCCCTTCCTGTTGCTCCACCCTCTCTCTCTTCCGTCTTACCCCACCCGTCACTCCACGGCCCTTATTTGGGAAATGTCTTAATTGGATTAAACTCTCTGCATCAGAAACACTTTGTCAGCATGTCAGCGTACTGTCGGGGTGTCGAGGCACTCTGAGCCCCGTATGCATGTGTGTGTTGGTAACAGAATAATGAGCCGTGGATCCATAATATATCCATGTTTTTTTTTTTTTTTGGTGGTGATGTCAAATCCACATTCAGATCAAATGTTTTTTTTTTTTCTCCATTCAAATAAGCTTCAATGGCATGAAATGATGTGTAGATGCTTTGTGACAAAGCGGAATCAATAGTGAATATCAGAGAATTTAAATTGTCAAACCATTGATTCATCAGATTGACTCTCAGGTTTAGATTCAGGCTCATTGAATATGTAATAACATACTAGTCAGACCTCCCCAAAGATGTAATACAAATATAGACTCGTGGCTCATCGGTACTGTAGAATACACACCAAAGAAACACCTGTTACTATGCAACATGAGATTTAAATATCACTTTACTAAAACAAATTCCCCACTCTTCAGAGATGATATTGCTTTATTTTTTAAATAAATACACAGTGCTAAAACAATGGACATGAAGACAGCAGAATCACCACTTTTGATAATCAACTAATCATTTGGGTAATTTTCAAGCATCAACACCAAAACTCTGGTCTCAGCCTGTCATCTGTTTCTCTCATTATCAATTTTTTAGTAATTTGTGCAGCGTTGAGCCCTGTAAATTTGTACTTTTTTGTGATATTCTATACATTTAACTGTAATTGATAAATCAAGAAAATAAATCCATAATGTATATATGAATCATTAAAATAAGAATTCATCAAAGTAATCATAAATTGTAGCTACAATTATTTTTAATTCAATGACAATTTATTTTAACTGCGTATGAATATTTCCACGATTTTATTAAAGCAGTTTAACCCTTGAGGCATTGCTTGATGTTCAAGGTTTAAAATAGCCACGTAGTTAAGGCGCATAGCATGTAACCTTATTGTGGGGGACACTCCTCCCTTGTTTCCTGTCCATCTCTAAATTATCAATTGTTCAATAATTGCACACAAAAAAAAATCTCTAAAAGACTGCCTGTTATGCAACTTAGAAGTACAATTTCAACCCCAGTGAAACATTGCTTCTTGTGGCTTATTCTCTGTCTGCAGGTGAGCGGTCTGCCAGGGTCGGTCTTCAACCTCGCTCCCTCCCACATGTTTGGCAACAGGCTGAATCCCAACTCGGCCATGGCGGCGCTCATCGCCCAGTCCGAGGCCTCACCAGCAGGTACGGCAACATACCTAATGTTGTGTGTGTGCGTGCATGTGTGTCAGAGAGAGATAATGGATAGGTCACGCCCCCTTGGTCCCACTGAGAGGTCAAGGGTCAGCACTCGTGATATTTTCAAGCTCCTCCCACTGAGCTCCAGTTACACGCTGAGATTGTTCCCCCTCTCTCACCCGTCCTCTCTGTCACACTAACAAATACAGCACATGGGCTCACACACACATATGTATGTATGTATGTGTGTATATATATGTATGTGTGTATATATATGTGTGTGTGTATATATGTGTGTGTGTGTGTGTATATGTATGTGTGTGTATATGTATGTGTGTGTATATGTATGTGTGTGTATATGTATGTGTGTGTGTATATGTGTGTGTGTGTGTATATGTGTGTGTGTGTAT